CAAGCAAGCAAACAAACAACAACAACTCAACCTCCATCACCCATACCATTCTTACTATGGACAGGACAGTGAGGAAGTCAGGGATGGAACAGTTTGTGACTCTGTCTTGTTCTCCAGTGGAATTTTCTTTTTTAATCCCTACATGGAAAATCTTCTGTTTTGCTTGATAATAAGAACAATACAGTTTTCTTTCTCAAATACATCGAGATAGAAATGTAAAGGTGGAAGTCATGTTGGCTCCCAATGTCAACATTTTGACATACTTTTCTCCAGACACACTGTGTGCTTGTACCTCTACATACACCTATGCAGCAGTTACAGAGCAGCAGTAGCCAAATGTACACACACAAACACCGAGTTCCTCTAAAAGACTCTAATGTGTTTCAGCCCATGCTAGCTGATCTTTCTGTTCACCACTTCTTGGTGAGCGTACCTCGCTTTTCATAGACTTCTTTGTGTAAAGTGTCTACTAAATTCCAAGAGCCATTTCCCTTTCCAGTTGATTTGCTTCTTGTGGGGTTCTTTCCTGGCTCTATTCTTAGGCATCCCAAAGGGGAGTCACTTGAGGCCTTGCACTGTCCTGTGGTCTTTGCTGGCCTTGGTTCCCTCTGGGCACTAGTATCTTAGGCCGGTGGGTTCTGAGTCAGGGTTTATCTGGTTCAGTTTCCTGGAACATTAGCTTTCAAGGGAGGAGGTGAGGACTCTCTGGTTTCTCTAGTTATAAGGGAAAGCTTTGAGAATTTGTTGGATTTTGATGTCTGCCAGCACAGATGGGGCCAGAATTTCCTGCTTCCTTTTGTGTGTCACATGGGTCTTAAGGGATGATAAGGACCAGGAATCTTGGTTGTCTTAGCCAGTGTTCTCTTGCTGTGACGAGACCACGACCATTGCAACACTTATCAATGAAAGCATTTAATTGGTGTTTGCTTACAGTTTCAGAGGTTTAGTCCATTATCATCTGTTGTTCAGCTTTCTTAGCTCTAGATGGATATTCAAGCCCCATGTTGGGTGCCATTAGTTGTTTTTTTTTTCCTCCACCCCCTTTTTTTTTGGAGGGCCCGCCACCCAGCTCCCAAATAAATCACACACAGAGGCTTTTTATTACTTATGAATGCCCAACCTTAGCTTGGCTTAGTTTCTTGACAGCTTTCCTTAACTTATTCCATCTACCTTTTGTCTCTGGGCTTTTCCCATTCTCTAACTTCTTTTTATTTTATTTTATTTTTTAAAGTGTTTCTTTTTTTTCATTAAGAATTTTTTCATTCATTTTACACACCAATCAAAGATCCCCCTCTTCCTTCCTCCTGCCCACCCCCCAACCTCTTCCTCCCAACCTACCCACAAGAAGGCAAGGCCTCCCATGGGGAGGCACATTCAATAGAGGCAAGTCCAAGCCCTTCCGCCTGCCTCAAGGCTGCAGGAGGTGTCCCATCATAGGTAGTGAGCTCCACAAAGGCTGCTCATGCACCAGATGAATTCTGATCCTATTGCCAGGCCTCCCCACAAGCAGATCAAGCTTCACAATTGTCTCGGCATGCAGAGGGCCTAGTGCAGTCCCATGTAGGCTCCACAGCCATTGAACCGATTTTCACTGAGTTTCCTCTAGTTTGGTTTGGTCATCCCTGCATTTCTCTCCATCATGATCCTAATGCACTTGCTCATAGAATCCCTCTTCTCTCTCTTTGATTGAACTTCTGGAGCTCTGTCTAGTGATTGATTGTGGATTTCTGCATCTGCTTCCATCAGTCTTTGGAGAAAAGTTCTGTGATGACCTTTAGGGTATTCACCGGTCTGATCTCTGGGGCAAGCCAGTTCAGTTCAGGCATCCTCTCCACTATTGCTAGTAGCCCAGGCTGGGGTCATCCTTAGGGATTCCTGGCAACTTCTCTAGCACCAGGTTTCTCTCTATTCCTGTGATGTCTCTCTCTATCATCTATAAATCTTACTTTTATTCTGTGGCTCACTGTGTAGCTGGGTGGCTGGTTCCTTCTAGATCTCTTCTCTCCTTTTTCTCTCCCTTCTCCCAGATTTCTCCCTCTCTTTACACTCTCTGCCTGGCAGCCCTACCTATCCCTTCTCCTGCCTTGCTATTGACTGTTCAGTTATTAGATCATCAGGTGTTTTAGACAGGCACATTGATACAGCTTCATAGAGTTAAACATATGCAACATAAACAAAAGTAACACACCTTAAAATATTCTACTACAGTCATCATGGTGGGAAGCATGGCAGTGTGCAGGCAGACATGTTGCTGGAGAAGTAGCTGAGAGTTCTATATCCAGATTTGCAGGCAGCAGGAAGAGAGAGACATTGGGTCTGGCTTGGGCTTTTAAAACCTCAAAGCCCAACCCCAGTGACACACTTTCTCAATGAAGGTCACACCTACTCCAAACTGCCACACTTCCTAATCCTTCTAAGTAGTGCCACTCCCTCATGACTAAGCATTCAAATATACGAGCCTATGGGGGCCTCTCTTATTCATACCACCACATTGGTGAATGCGTATTTTTTATAAAAAGGTTTTTCTTTGGAAAATGCTTCAAGGATAGAAATTTGTAAGACTAGTGTCCACAACACCTACCTACCCTTTCATGTCATGTGTCCCATTTACTTTATTACTTAGTGACTTGTTTTCCTTCCAGAGGCCTTCATGCTCACATGGAGACACTTGCTGCCATGTCCTTATTTTGGTTAGTTTTGTTTAACACCTGTTTGGCTCTTATTGTGCTTTAATTTAAGATCTCCCAAATGATGGAGTCTGTGTGTCCTGTATCAGAAATTTGCTCAGAGAATCAAATCAACCCATCACAAAACATTTAAATAAAGTATATTTTAACCTGACTAAAACAGTTTCCAGTTTAGAACTGTATCTCTAGCTCTTACCTATTCTTCATGTGTGAAATTAGTCCTGTGTTGGCATGTGTGTACTCGTTCATATACACGCTCATGCTGTGTGCAAGGAGGGGAAGTCCTTCCTCATCTCTGTCTGTACCTTTCCTCTTGTCTTGTTCTTTCCATTTTTTTTTGCTACTGTTGATTTTCTTCAGTTGTCTCTTGATTTAAAAAAACCTCATTTTTCCACATTTACCTTTAAAAATCTGTAATAGATTCAAATTTTATTAGAACAAACTAATTTCCTTTCAACTTGCAACAACCATATTAAGTCATGTCTACTCCAGCACTCTTTTAGACTGTAGATTTATTCATTCATATCATGTTTCATCTTTCACAAAGATCCGTGTGTCAAGCACTGCTTTAAGGGCTGAGGGTAAAGAGGAATGATATAGTTTGTAGCTTGTGGTATGAAGAGGAGATAAATGTGAATGGCACTCAGTGGAAGAGGGGGCGCTGAGCATGAAGGTGTGTCCGGCGGCATGTAGCGTGGCGCGGTGGGAGGTGGACATGGGGTCACGGTGTAGGTAGTGACTGACCGCCTAGTTATGTGAGGTTGGTAGGGATTCTTCATCCCCTTATTTCCCAGTCTGCTTCATCCTCTAGATGTGAAGATCTGCATTTGTCAGATTTCCAGTGCTGTGACAAAATACCTGAGATCTAGAACTTAAAAGGAGAAATGACTGTTTTGGCTCAAGGTTTCAGAGATCATGGTCTCTGGGTCTCTTCACTTTGGGACAGTTGAGGCAGAATATCATGGCAGGGAGTGCACAGTGAGGTAAAACGCCTAGCTTCATACTGGCTGGGTGGTGAAGAGAGAAGGGACAGTCTTTGGGTCCCCTTGAAGGCCCTGCTCCAGTGTCTTGTATCTTCCAAGCAGGTCCCATTTGCTCCCATTAGCATTTACAACCAGACACCAAGCCTACCACACTTGAGTTCTGGGCACACATTGAAGATTCAAACCACAACAGGATCTCAATGTTTTACCCTCTATTATTTTTTTCACTAAAAGGCTCATACTCTATAGACTCAGGACTACTGTGATGAGACAGCCTAGATATATCATGAAAGGCAAGTCACAGATGTCATGGACCCTTTGGGAACCTGCGATCTCTCCCCGTACCAGGGCAGTCCCGTTGGGGCCTTCATCCAGTGTTGTCCATCTCACCTCCACTCACTAAATTTAAATTCTCTAGTCAGAGAAAGATGACGATGGCGTGTCTTGATCCAAGTTAAGAGGGTCCTGGATACTAATTTTGATGAAGGTATTTGGAAAATTGTGCTTAGTAGGTAGTGAAAAGCAGGTACACAAAGCCATGAGATAGGTGTATGAACTACTTTTCTCAATGCTGTGACCAAATATCTAAAAGCAATATAAAGGAGGCAAGGCGGTTCAGGCCATGTAGTCCACTGTGGCAGGAAACCCATGGTAGCAGGACCAGCTCCTGCCTGTGGCGTCAGGAGGCTGCTTGCTCACATCTTGGGAGATTGAAGAGAAAGGGGAATATTGGTATTGTGCTGATTTTCTTCCTTTTCCTAGTTCCCTCAGAAGCATCTGATGTCGCTGCCCATATTAGAGAATGTCTTTCTCTCTCAGTTAATCCTCCATGGAAGCACCTTTTCAGACAAGATCCTAAAGGAGTGCCTCACGGATACCTTAGATGCTTCTTGGTCTATTAAGTTGACATCAGGGTCAACTGTCATGAGGCTGTCAAGATAGTTCAGTGGTTAAAGGATGTTTTCTGTCAAGCCTGATGACCTAAGTTCCATGCCTGGAAGGACAGAAATGACTCTCACAAGCTGTCTTTTGACCTCCACATGTGCACTGTGGCATGCATGAGGACACATGCTATAAAAAGAGAATTTTAAAAAGCAACTGTAGTCAGCCTGACACCCAAGCACACCGCTTTAAACCATAATAGTATATCCTGGCTCCTACAGCCTCAGGCAGATCTCAAAGTGCAGAATACATTTAGTTCATCTCTAGGAGTTCCCGAAGTCTTAAGAGTTCTAGAACTGTTCAGGAGCCCAAGTTCAAAGTCTTCTCTGAGATTCAAGGAACCCCAGTAGCCCATATAAAACAAAAAAGTAAGTTCTGCATGTTTAATATACAGTGACACAGTAAACATATTAATTCCTTAAAGGTATGAAATGAAGCACAGAAAAGAGGGAGCAGAGCAGAGCAAGACCGACCTAGCAATTCAAAACCACATCCCGAGGCTCCACGTGTGGCATTGGGGGTGTGTGTCTTTGTGGAATTATCAAGGCTCCAGTGGCTTTAGGGGTAATGTTCTGGGGTCTTCACTGAAACATAAGGAGCACTCTCACAGTTTTGTGCACAGTGCACTAGGTGACTTCACACAGGCTAACCAACCTTGCTTGATACACACCACCTGCTCTCATTCGTTTTCTGGATCCTTTGTATCTTATCTCCATGCCTCCTCCATCCTTGCATCTTGCATGCCTGTAAAACCAGTACCTTATGGCTAATGCAAAAGTTCTCCCACCACCTTGAGATGCCGCCCAGCACCCTTGGACCATAGTGCAGCAACCTGTGTGATTTCTCAGCTGAAGCCAGGAAAATACTTTCTTATCCAGCTGTTTCTCCGTGGGGTACCTTGAAGGCCCTATCTTGTCAAACATTCTCCTCTCAAATGAATTAGCATTAACATACCCAGGAACCATTGTTGGTTGGGATCTTGTCCTCTATGCAACTTTTGTATCATTCCCGTGCAACATTCCAAGTTTCTCTTTAATGGTGCTCATGTGTTTAATCTTTACCTGCCTGGTCTTCAACTTGAACTGGGTCCAAGTCCCGCCCCCCCCCACACTAAACCGCACACTTCTGTCTGCAGCCTTGTCCAGGTTCACATGGTTCTTCAGCAAACTGCACATTTTTCCGTCTTTATGATCCACCGCTCACTCTCACTGTATATCTGGGAAATGCGGTGCGCAGTAGCCACACCACAATCTGGACATTATGTTGTCCTGATATTTCCTCTGCCAAACAAAGGATGCACTGTTTTTAAATTCAACCTCAGGCCGTGGGCAGAATGCAGCCAGACTCTTGGCTAGAATGACGTGAATGGTTTCTAGTCCAAATCCCAATGAAGTTCTGTTAGTCTGAGACCTTGTGAGCTAGTACTGTCCATGCTTCTCCAGTTCACATTGTTCATCTCTCCATTCTGTTCTCAGAGATCCTCCCAGAGATCCATTGAGCTCTGATCACAGCATTCTAGAGCTTTCTCCAGCCTGCGGTTGCAACCTCCTATTATTTCCAAAATCAGTTGCACCAGCCTCATGGTCAGGGAGTCACAGCATTGATTCCACTTTTTAGGACCAGTTTTTGGTTTAGTTACGTTCCTCAATGCTGTGATTAAAAATCTGATGTCTTAGGCAGGGTTTCTATTGCTGTGATAAAACATCATGACCAAAATCAGCGTGGGGAGGAAAGGGTTTATTTAATGCTACAGCTTGTAGTACATCATCCAATTAAGCTAGGGCAGGAACTCGTAGCAGGTTACTTGATGACAAGAACTGATGCAGAGGCCATGGAGGAGTGCTGCTTACTGGCTTGCTCCCTATGGCTTGCTCAGCCTGCTTTCTATAGCACCTAGGGCTTCCTAACTAAGGTGGCACTGCCCACAGTGAGCTGGGCCCTCAGAGAGCAATCAATGATCAGAAGGCATCACAGGCTTGCCCATAGGCCAGTCTGATGGAGGTATTTTCTCAATTGAAGTTCTGTCTTCCTAAATGACTCTGGCTTGTGTTAAGTTGACATAAAACTAACCAGCATACCTGAAAAGATGAAACTTAGGAGAAAAAAGCTTTTATATTGGCTCATGGTTTAGGGGGTATAATCCATTACAGAGAGGAAGGCGTGATGGTGGGACAAGGCATTGGAGGCATTTAGAGGCTGCTTGCTCATATCTTCACGGATCAGGAAGTAGAGACAGGAGAATGCTGGCCTTCAGTGGCTGTCCCCCCCCCAATTAGTCAGCCCATGGGACTCTTCTGACTCCATTAGAGGTCATCCTTCCTGCCTCCAGTCAATCTTCTCTGAAAACATCCCCATAGACATACCTCCAAATACGTACTTTGCCACGGTGTTTCTTAATAGAATCAAGTTGGTAACCATAATTAATTACCATCATGGATGAATATTTTTTTATGTTGAAAAAGTACTAGAAAAAGACATGAAGGCCCATAGTGAAAAGCATCGAGAATAGGAATTGGTACCCAGTGGAAAATGGAGAGCTTACATAGAGAGGCCACCTGGGGACCGGATAGAAAAGGTCGATGATGTAAGAGGACTGAGCAGGAGGAATTGAGTTTCTTTATCATTTACCATCTGATGTTGATAGCTATCACAGTCTTTTAGGGACTAGCTCTGTAATCTCTCTGCGTTTGACTAAGCAAGCAAGGGACACTGGCATGTTTCTGTTGGAGTCCATCATAATGTCTACAATATGATATGCCTGAGGGCTGAGAATCTGATGTTGCTTAGGGTGAATGTGTAACTCAGGTCAGGAGTTCCCTAGAAAATTGATGCCTTGAGTTGGAAAGTCTGGCAATTTGGGAAAATCTGGTTTTAGTTACTGATTTCTCTTACAGTCTGGCTGACACTGGAAAGAGTCTTGATGGAACCAAGAGCAGATCAACCATATCCCTCATGGCTGCAGAGGAGGAGATAAATCAGCTAAAAAAGCAGTAAGAAAATAAAACAACCTGTAGCATTCCTGCAGCTGCTGCTGAGTCACTGAGAGTCTAGCTTTTCAGTCATTTATGACAATGTGAGAATTCACCATGAAGGAGGAAGGACAGCTGCATTTTTATGAATGTTTAGTTTCTTTTTTTTTTTTTCCACTATAGGAGTTTCTTACTGACTACAGGCAATTTCTAAAATGTAACATAGTGTCCAGGAACCTAAAAATCTCTCCTCATTCTAGCGGTACTTACTGTTACCATCTGCTCTTTCTTCCAGTTAATATATTGAAACCACAAAGAGCACATTGAAGTCCATATGGTTTGGAAGTCCACCTTTTCATTTTATATTATTTTTTTTAATCACCGAGAAAAAAGTAATGCAGAAGTTAGTTTCAAATAGGTCCATCATCTTAAATTGTTTTAGAATTTCCTTCATGTTGAGTACTTACTTGGATATTAACATTTAATTCTGGATGCAACATAGAGGGAAACTTTTGTTAAAACTTAATTTAGACTTCAGACTAGTTCCTAATGATTGTTTCTAAAGGGAAACAGTGAACACAGGTCCTTTATCTTAAGTTTGAAGCCCCATCCTTCCCCCAAGTATACTTTACATGCACACAAATGCACACCGCAAGACACACATACTTTTCACATACACTTTAGCTTGATTTCATTTCCGTGTATGTTCTAGTGTTAATTTCTTCTAGAACATTCCTGAGGCTTCCCAGGATGCTGCTACATTTTCTACTTCTTTCTTCTCCTGCCTCATTTGCATCTCTTACGTCCTGGTTGGTACACCACCTTGAATTCACGGGTGAGATTACCCAGTTGTCTTCGGCCATTTCTAGTGTGCCTGTACGTCCTTGGGTGCTCCTGGCTTCATGGCATCCTAACCAGCCTTCCCCTTCCTTCCTTCCCCTTCAATTGGTCTCGTTTTCATCACCACAGGTTCTCGGGGCTTTTGCTTCTGTTTTACTGTGGTCACAGCTCTTTGGATCTTAATGAGGGTGTCGATTTTATGTCTAGCGTCTTTTATTTTACTTTATTTTGGTGCTGCATTGGTTTTAGAAGCCCCTACCTCCTGCTAGCCTTCTACTGTCTTTCTTCATACTGTCTCTCCAAGAAATGAGCTGGTGAGGGCAGGGGGTCATACCGGTGTTGGACTAAGTTGTGAAGGTTCGATGTTTTTGGAGTTTTGTACAATGAAGATGAGTCCAGTTGTAAAGCACTCTACTCCCTACTTCCCCCCCTCCCCCGGGGACCCACATAAATAGCCTTTCTTCAGGAAGCTTCCCACCTTGTGACCTGTAGAAGTGGACTGAATCCTTATCTCTGTGGTTTTGTTCTTTACTTATTGTATGTCTTCACATCTATTTCCTTGGGAGTTTCCCTGCGTAATAATGGCATGTGAATGGTACCAGTTATTTTCTTCCTCCTTTTTTCCTTCCTTCCTTCCTTCCTTCCTTCCTTCCTTCCTTCCTTCCTTCCTTCCTTCCTCCTTCCCTCCTTTCCTCCTTTCCTCCCTCCTTCTCTCCTCCCTCCCTCCCTTCTTCCTCCCTCCCTCCCTTTCTTCCTTCTTTTCCACTCTCTTTTCTTCCTCCTCCTCTATGCCCTTTCCTACCTCTTAAAAAAGTGTTTCCTTTTTTTTTCTGTCCTGTTTCCTTTCTTTCTCACCCCCATTTCTTTTCCTTTGTTGTTAGACTTAAATCTCTTCAAGCCCAGGAAGAAACCCGCCACAGAAACTCAGAGAGCCGGCGCTCTGAGGCTTCCAAATCTGAGCGCCGAGTTTCAAGCAAACGGACCTCAGATGCGCGGACCTCAGAGCCACGGAGCCAAGAGGTGATGTCAGACTATGGGAAACAACTCCAAACTCTGAAGGATGAGATAGCTGTCTTGTCTGCTGAAAAAGCCGGTCTCCAGGGAAGGTCTGAAAAACTCTCCCGGATCCCTTCATTTGCCTTTCATTTCTTTTTCCCCCCGAGTTAGTAGCAACAGTCTGGATAGTAGAGAGAGGACAACAGAGTGAAATCCAAGCCCCAATGGCCTGGGAAGCTTCGGTTCGTAAAGGGGTTGTTTTCTAGAACCGCACCCTTCTACCCAGGAAAAATGGCTGAGAGGATGAAAGTGGTGTCTTGGCCTTGAAACCAGGCTCATGCGAGCTGGCTCTTCAATGGTTAATACAAGCTGAAAGGATGTTCCATAAGCTGAAGATCTTTCCCTAAGAGTCCTGTGTCCAGGGACTGGAGATGATGGTTCATTCCACCGCATTACATTTCCCCCAACCCCCTCAGACACACTCGCATTTTGCAGCCAAGATTGGCCTGCGGTTCACTGTATAGTCCGGGGTGTGGCTTTAGATTTGCAATCCTCCTGCCTCAACATCTTGAGTGATGGGACGCCGGGTGTGAGCCACCACACCTGGCTGGAGTTTCCTCTTGTCTCTCTCACTCTGTTGATGGCTGTCGTGTGTAGGTGGTTTTCGGGAAGCTCCTCCCACTCCACACGATGGGGTAGATGAGGAGGATAAAGCAGCTGTGTCTCCAACACTACATGCATTTCCTTGCTTACGCTAGTCCCCTCCCCTCTGGCATCTCCCGATTGAGGTTACTGAAGCCCTGGCTCCTGACCCTCATTTTGCCTAGATGTTTCCTCCTGAGTCCTACGTTTTGTGGAGGCTCTCCTCTGCTGTACTGATACCGGCTGGTACTGAACAGTCAGTGGGAATGGAGGAAGTATTATGCACCATGGGAACGGGCAACACCAGCAAGGAAGGAGGCCGCCTCCACTCAGTCTGCTGACTGGATGACTGCTTTGTCCTGTTCCTTGTACAGTGCCTCCTGTAAGACTTCTCTTTGGAGCCTCATTGCCTTGGGCCCAACTGGTCTGCTATCTAATAGTTTACTTCGCGCTTGATAGCAGTCCGGTTTCAATTACAAGGTCCTGGGGAGCACTTGGATGCTGTGTTAGTACTCCAAGCTCAGTTTTAAGAAACTCCAGCATCTGACTTGTATGCTAACTCCCGCCCTCCCCTTGAGGGCTTCCGGTTCCCGCTTTGGTGAAATAGCCCCAGGAGTCAAAGCTGGAGACCCAGGGTGACTGAAAATATAAATTGAGGCACTCATGAATTGTGAATTCTAATTCACTAGGTAAATAGGGGGCATTCTTTCCCATTTCTGGGGGCCTTGGGAGGCAAAAATGCCTCCCCCTAGTGGAGAGATCATCCCCACAGACCTCCCCCCCCCCCCCCCCCCCCCCCCCGCTTGCCCACATGTGAGAGGTTGTATGGTGCTGGTGTGTCATTCGATGTGTCCCCACACAGAAGAATAAGAGTTCAGGAAGTCCAAGAACCAGGGAAGAGGGAATCACAGTTTTGCCCAGCGGATTCTTGTTCACCCGCAGGTCAACCAGGAGCCGGTCTCCTAGCCCTAGCCGCAGCCGGAGCCGCAGCCGCAGCCACAGCAGGTCCAACAGCCCTTGCACCACAGTGGCCAAGATCAGAAGCCCATCCCCAAACCGGTCCAAAATATCCAGCGTGGCTCGCAAAGCTGCTCTCCTGTCCCGCTTCAGCGACGCCTATTCCCAGGCCCGCCTGGACGCGCAGTGTTTGCTGCGGCGCTGCCTGGACAGAGCGGAGACGGTGCAGCGGATCATTTACATCGCCACAGTGGTAAATGCGACATCTCGGCAGCTGGACTTCGGGTCCTTGGGGGCAGTGGGAGAGCGATCATACAGTGAACGATGCAACCTTAAAAGGCTGGTGCATCCTGAAGTTACTCCCCATCTGTCCCCGGTCTCCCTTCCTTCCCGCCCATCCTTTCGTTATAGATATTTGGGAGCTATTCATTTTTCACGACTGTGAACTGTCACACACATTCACATTTGTGTTGGCCAGACATTCATTGCAGTGTCCATCACTCAACCAGGACCATCTCAAACGGCACCATGTTAAATTGATAGTGTGCCTTTTGTGGTATGTGACTACACGAGCACATAGTAGGGCTTTTGCTATAAATGATTATTAATTACTGGTTTTCTGCCAGCCTAAGCAAACTAGAGGATGAGATCGTGCACTCCTCTGCCTAAGTGATTTGTGAGTTTCTAAAGCTGCCAATGTGTCAGCTATTTGAGTGCTGCAAATTAAAAAGATATATAAATATAATCCTCGGTTTTCGAAGTGAATATACGTGTCCTCTGGGTGGATGCCACCTTGAGACCCCATTATCAGAATAAACATGAAGGAACAAAAACACCTTGTTAAGGCGAGAGCAGACAGATTAGAAATTCTGGATCTATTCAGTTATGTCAAAGGTCAGCAAACTATGTGTGTGGGCCACATCCGGCTTGTTCCCACAATACTGCGCAGGAGTCAAGAATGAAGAATGGTTTTATACTTTTAAAGGGGTATGATATAAAAAAAAAAAAAAAAAAAAAACAACAGTCAGTGACAGAAATGGCAGCCAGTGAAGCCTAAAGCGTTTATCATTTGGTTCTTGATAAGGAAAGCTTCTCAGGCCCTGGCTTGTAACTAAGTGATTTGATTAAAGGTGTTTCGTGATGTGGTTAAAGTGATTTGGGTAAAGCTTGAGAAACCAATACATACATACATACATAACAGGTATGGGATAAAGTTTTATTGAATTTGTAATAGAAACATGGCACGGGTTGTTTTCTCTTAACATGTTGGCCGGTATCATGGCATTGCTGTGTGCCCACAGCACCGGAACTCCCGTCCCTGGGTCTGCATTGTCCTGCTTTTGGCACCCAGAGTTACCAACACAAGGCTTACTTGTCTTAAAATTAGTGTGTTATCATGTACATTTCTACACCTTTTAAAACTGAGAGTCGTACTATGTCCTAAGTCAAAACTGTGTTTGGCCAACCGTGTTTAGTTATCTGAACACTGGTTCAATGTTGCTTTCTGAATTCTTCCTGATTCCTCTCTTGGGACCTTCTCATCTCCTCTCCTCATCAGATAAACTTGCTGTGTTTTCATGTGCAGGAGGCCTTTCACGTAGCTAAAATGGCGTTCAGGCACTTCAAGATCCGGGTGAGGAAGATGCTGACCCCGTCACACGTGGGCTCAAATGACTTTGAGAGCGCGGTTATGGACTACATCATCTGCCATCTTGATCTCTATGACTCGCAAAGCAGTGTGAATGTAAGTGTTGAGTCTCTTCGGAGGGCTAGCGTGTGGCTGGTGATGACATACCGGAGACCGATAACTTAGGAATCCGTCTGTATGTTTGGTGTTATGTCTATGTGGGGGGAGAGAAGAACAATATTCAGTTTGCCTTACAGAACCAGTCCTTACCAGCAGCTTTTCTTTTTTGCATGCAAGAGTGGTGTGTGTGTGTGTGTGTGTGTGTGTGTGTGTGTGTGTGTGCGTGCGCGCGCGCACGGCACATTTGTGGAGGCCAGAAACTGACACTGGATATGCCTCTTGATCACTCTCTAATTACTAAGTTTGCCAAGTTGGGTGATTTAGCCAGCCAGGTTGCCCAGGGAACCTCTGGTCTCTGCCTCTTTAGTGCTAAGACAGACCCTGAATTTATGTGGGTGCTGGGATTTGAAGACAGGTTTTTATGCTTGTGGTGGATGTTTATGTTCTAGCCATCTCCTTAGGGAAAAGTTCTGAGCTTTATAATCACATCCTTTAGGGATGATTTTAAAGGGGTCTTTGAGATTGGGAGTTGAAGTATTTTAGTTCTTTTTTAAGATTTATTTATTATGTATACAGCATGTGTCCCTGCAGGCCAGAAGAGGGCACCAGATCTCATTACAGATGGTTGTGAGCCACCATGTAGTTGCTGGGAATTGAACTCAGGACCTCTGGAAGAGCAGTCAGTGCTCTTAACCTCTGAGCCATCTCTCCAGCCCCAATATTTTAGTTCTTAAGAGCAAGGACTCTGGAAAATGAGTGTGGGTTTGACCTTGACGTTGCCACGAGACTACTGTGTTGCTTTCCACGTTCATTTAAACTCCCAGTACTCTGTTGTTTTTTTTTCCAGTCTCTGAAAGGGAGCTTCGGAGATCATTATCCCACAGAGTTACTGGGAGGGGTCAATGAAAGGAGGTGGGCCATTTGTCTAGCACAAGACTTGGGGCATAGTAAACACTTAATAAAAGCAAACTACTTTGGCTGGCATCTCCTACATTCACTCACAGAAAAAAAAAATCAGGAGGGAAGATGGCTCATTTGGTAAAATGCCTGCCGTGGAAGCATGAAGACCTGAGTTCAGATCTCAGGCACATATATACAATCTGGGTGAGGTGGCACACGTCTGTAACCCCAGCATGAGGGATCAGGGGCTGGCGGATCTCTGGGACTCATTGACTGGCCTGACAGCCCACCTAAATCAATGTGCTCCAAGTTTGTGAGAGACCCTGTCTCAAAAAATAAGATGGAGAGCAAGCAATAGAGGAAGACATCCATCATTGACCTGTGGACTCCACATGTACCTGCATTCATATGTGCACACACCCATGTGAACATGTACTCCCCCACACCCATGAACTTATAAATACCATGAGCCTCTTCCTTTAGTGGTTTTTTTAAAGATTTATTTATTTATTATGTAGACAGGAGAGTGTGCCAGATCTCATTACAGATGGTTGTGAGCCACCATGTGGGTGCTGGGAAATGAACTCAGGACCTCTGGAAGAACAGTCAGTGCTCTTAACCTCTCAGCCATCTCTCCAGTCCCTTCCTTTAGTTTTTAAGAGGGATTTTTCTTGCTTTCAGCTTCTTTCTGCTGTCTTCTCTCGTCTTTCCCTACCAGTAAGCGGCAGCATCCTTCTCCTCGTACCACACCTACCCCCTTTCCTGGATTAACTTATTTTAGTTCACATGCTCTTCCCCAGCTCCCATCAGTCATAATTGGTGTCGGGAATCCTCTGGAGGTCGGAGCTTCTTGTCACAAGTTGGCAGCCCATTGATGCCATCTTTTGCTTTTCAGGATGTGATCCGCGCCATGAACGTCAACCCCAAGATCTCCTTCCCTCCTGAAGTTGACTTCTGCCTCCTCCACGACTTCATCCAGGAGATATGCTGCATTGCCTTTGCAATGCAGTCCTTAGACCCACCACTTGATATCGCGTTTGGGGCCGATGGAGAAGTCTTTAATGATTGCAAGTAAGAGACATAGGGAGCAGGCGCTGAAAGATGCTCACTGTCTCTGCTCCCCAGGAAGATGAAGGGGAGAGAACCCTGGGCAGAGAAATCAGTAGCCACTCCCATGCCATGAGTTTCTCTGTACTCCGAACCCCCTCTTGGGCTCATTCTTCACTGACCATATTAGCTTTGGGGAGACCTAAAGAGTTGCCTGGAGCCTGGTTGGAACATTGGTAGTTAAAAAAATGTATTCTGTGAATACAAACACAGTTTTTAAAGATTATTTTTTGTTATTTTTATTGTGTGTGGTGTATGCACATGTGTGCACATGTGTGCAGAGGGACGCTTCCTGTGGAGGCCAAAGGTTGATGCTCAGAGACACTGGTTCTTACTGCGTGATTTAGGCCAGGTCTCTCCAAGTGTGGTGTGTGCACCACCAACCTCAGAAGCAGTCCAGGCATTTCCTAGGGATGCACACATCTGTACCACAGAGTGTGCTGTTTGTTTGCTGCAGTGGTTCCAGCGTGGGGCTTGGGAGGCTGCAGTTCACAAACACCAGGCACACTCCATGCACGCTGATGTGCTGGACTCCTGTTTAGAAGTATTAGATTCTACCGAATTTCACACGGTGAATATTCCACTAATAAATCAGAAGAAGTTGAAATAACCTGAAACAATCATTGAGATTTGACAAGATCTTAGCCACAGCTGGAGATCACCTGAGGAGGGCTCAAGCTAGTAGTTAAGAAGGCCAGCTCTGGCTTCAAGCTACTTAGATTTGAATCCATTCACTATGTGATCTTGGGCATGGTCCTTTATTTTTTCTGTCCTTCAATTTTCTTCTCTTTCAAGGGGTGGGGGGTAGTAATGCTTCTTCCTCAGGACTGTAGAAGGCTAGCTGTGATAACTCAGATGCAGCATTTTGGATGATGCCAGGCATGGAGTGAGTGGTCAGGAGTAAGAACTCTGCTTCTTTGTTTTAGCTGTAGTTCAGGATAAGTAGCCAAGACATCCATGCCACAAAATACACACACACACACACACACACACACACACACACACACACACACACACACACACACACACATTGGGAGTCACCAACATCTTAATTCAGATGCTCATTTATCTGCTGAGTATCTTCTTTGGATGTCGTCACTGAGACCCATTCCAATCTAGCTATGTAAACATTCGCCAAGATTTGCGTGAGAAATAGAAATTGTAGAAAACCTCAGAGGACTTGGTCTATGCTTCTAGCATTTTCTAGACTTGCAGCTCTTATAATTCTGAGGAGACTAGAGATGGGATGAAGTTTGTTGACGTGATGTGTTCTTAGCCAGTCTGTGCCAGAGGCCGGTTGTTCCTGGTTTCTGTTCGAAGAGCATGTGTCCATCTCCTTAACCACGGAATGAGGACCCGAGCCCTGTTTAGACCCAAGCCTAGTCAGAAATGAACTTTTCAGTTGGGTTTCCTCTGGTTATGCTACAGAACGCTGAACGTCCAGCTGGTGGCCATACCCCAGTCGTAGAGTGCATGCTTAGCCTGCGCAAGGCTCTGGGGGTGACCACCACCATGGAAAACCAGTTTCTTACCCTGTTCTCTTGTGCTTCTCCACAGGTACCGCCGCAGCTATGACTCGGATTTCACTGCTCCCTTGGTCTTTTATCACGTGTGGCCTGCTCTCATGGAGAATGACTGTGTCATTATGAAGGGGGAAGCCGTCACCAAGAGGGGGGCTTTTGTACGGTGGCCTTGCATAGTGACAATTCATCCCCAGTGTCTGATTCACAAGTTCGAGAACATTTATACACCCAAAGATTCTATAAAAAGAAGTTGATAGAGTTGTCTGATAAGATTTCATACGAAGGAGAAGGAAAAACAGCTGTCTGTCGTTTGGAATGTCCCACAATGCTTTGCAATTCCCCGGCAATGAATTCATTGCTGCTCTTCTGTCTAAAGATGGAGTTGGTCGTGATTTATTGATTTCTTCCATCTTAGAGATATTTTGACATTTCTCCATTTGGGGAAATTATGCATGTATCCTGTTTTTCTTTCCTTGGTATGATGTATAGGGAAGGGAAGGATGGAATAAAATGGGGCAGAGAAGGTGGGAGAAAGAAGCCATTTGGCTTTGGAAGGATGTTTCCTATATGGCTCTTGGTTATAGATGGTTTGACTATCTTAAAAAGTTGAATAGCCTTCCAAATGGAGTCTTTAGAGTGTGTGTGTGTGTGTGTGTGTGTGTGTGTGTGTGTGTGTGTGTGTGTGTGTAGTTTGTGTGCTGGGATTCATGGTCACAGGGACTTTGGAGATGCATATACCATGATGTATTATTTACCTCATCCTTTCCTAGACAGAACCAGGTGAATTCTGAAGGGAGCCCCTTGGTGCAGAGCCGAGGTGGGGGTTTTGGTCCCTGTTTTCTAAACTAGGTGAGAGGGGAGGTGCTTTGAGGCTACTCATAGTAGGGGAATAGAGAAGTTTATTAAACAAACAAACAAAACCTTAGAATATTGGTGTTTGTTTTACAAGTTAAAATCCCATGGTAGTGAAAACGACCTCCATAAAAGTGTTTTGTGTTTCAAAGCTGAGCTCATCAAAATTGGCTTTTGTCCCCCTGACAACACATGAGCTCTACAGTGAACATTTTCATAACACAGTATTCTTGCCCTTACAACTCCCTGTTAGGAAAGTTTTACTAATGGAGTGTAGTTTGGAAGGAGGGAGGTGACTTGGTCACAACCTTTATGATCATGTCCAAGAGTTATTGTCTATTGATCCCCTCCCTCACAAGCACACTTACATTTGCCCCTTTTTATGGATACACAATTAAAACAGCACATCTACCATGAATTTGGTGTATAATTTTCTTCATATGGACTCAGTAGCTGGCCCTGCAGAGGCCTTTTATTGTGTTCAGTGAGATTTCTTTTTTTCTGTGGTCTATATGACCTTGGTGCTGCATTTACATGGTAGATACTTAAAGTGAACAACCAGCCAGCCGTGAATCCCAAAGCCAAACGTGAGGACTAACAGTTTACTCATGAAAACACTTCTCCGAGCACCAGAACGGGAGCACCCTCAAGTTTGTTATAATGGGGTTTTACTGGAGAAGTTCCTGCCACATACTGTGTGGTAGGAAATAATAGGAGTGTTGCTCACACTGGTGACAAGGGAAAGAGCTGTCCTGTCAGTAGAGTCTGAGGTAAGCCGCATCTGCTCTAACAAACTCATGACTCCTTCTCTGTCTCTCTTTCTCCTCTTAGTGGAGTTCTGTGCGACCTATAACACGCTGCCGCAGCAGGAGCTTAAGTCCCGTCTGTCCCCGTAACCGCATTGGATTAAGCACGGTACATTCCCGTCTAGTCACTCATACAGAAAACCTTCATTCATACTTTCTTCCCTGTGACAGGGGTGACGGCCAGTCTGTAGGTAGTAAGAAAAGCTGTTGCTCTGATACAAACCCTGTGTGTCTTTGTTTTGTGTTGTTTTGTTTTTTATACCATGATAGCTAAGAAACTTAGTGTCCTAGAAAGAGATGGAAGTGCTTGTCTTTTCAGTTTTCCTGTTGAGGTCTTTCAAGGAATGAAAGACTTTACCTCTTTAAAAGCTGTATTCTTTGCAAACTTGAAGAGGCTGTTAGGGAACGGACAGTTGGACATGGGACATTTGAGTCACAGAGCTGAACACAGGTCCCTGTTTTTTGTTTTTTCCAGAAATTAATACATGAGTTTGGAGGGATTACTTAAAGAGTCTAGACTGAAGTACTCTCTAAAGGGCAGTCACCAAAATCAGTAGAAAAGATAAAATTAGTTTCTTTGTATATTAATTCTTGGAAAAATTAATAATCTATTTAAATTAGGAAGTAACATAAAATATTTCTGAGGGCTGGAGAGGTGGCTCAGAGGTTAGGAGCACCGACTGCTGTTCCTGAGGTCCTGAGTTCAATTCCCAGCACCCACATGGTGGCTCACAACCATCTGTAATGAGATCTGGCACCCTCTTCTGTATTTGTAATAAATAAATAAATCTTTAAAAAATATTTCTGAAAACTCTCACTATTTACATCACAATGACTCATCCCTGTCCACTTACTCACCAAATAACGCTTAGTCAACATCTGTTGAATGTGGGGCTGGACCAAGAAAGGCAGGCTACAGATCTACCATTCCTTCAGCTGGAAATTCTGCCTATGTGTGTTTGACCTTGTTCTCAAGGACAGAGCAGTGAAGGACTGCAGGTCGGAATACCTCACATCTCCCACCTGTCTCTGGCAATGTGGTGGTGGAGCTTCTTCTGCAGAACAGCTCTGTAATTACTCAGACCCACCATCATCTCCGAGTTTAGCAGGCACCCACTATTCCTCCAATAGGCTCCTTCTCAAACAGAACTCAAAGGCCAGATGGGAGGGACGCAAAAATAACGAGATGCAGTCTTCCCAGTGAGTGGGTCACCCTAGAGGAAGATCAGTGTACTTTGAACAACTTAGCTGGATGATCACGACGCAGATCAAGTTAAGAGGTCCATGGGTGATGTGGTGTGATGTAGTCTGTAATGTAAACACCTAGAGGTGGTGAGGAAACAGCATGGAAGCTGGGACTTGATTGGTTTTTCAGAATGGTCAGATGTCACAGAGGAAGAAAACCACATAAGAAATGCTAGGGAAGTAGAAAAGACCAACAGTGGACACAGTCCTTTTGCTCTTGAGGATTTTATAAAACTGAATTACATTAATAAATAAATGTGTACAGGTAGGTCAAAAAGAGGACCATGTGTTTAGTGACCTAATGAATAAAAAGGGAACCTTGGGAGCATCATGATGGGATGTCTCCCTATCCCAAGAGGAAACGGTGTATCTGAGGGGAGAGTAGTTGAGACTAGTATTAGAAGATGATTCTCCAGCCCTGGAGATTTGGACTCTGGATTCTCAGTAGAAGTTTTTATTCAAGGGGAGTGTCCCCTGCACTGAGTCCTGAGACGTGTTTGAACCCATTTCTCTTTATCATTCTATGCTCAGGGAGAGCAACATAGATTCAAGTGTAGATGAAGACATAAAATACATTCTCAAAGATGAAACTGAGCCAGCTTCCCTTCTCTGCCCATCTCTGTCTCCCTTCAACAAAGATAGCACTTCCAAGATGAAATGTAAACACTTTGGTTGGGCTGTCTTTTAGGCTTAACTAGGGCCATGCTTCCCACAGAACAGATTCCACCTTGGACAGTATCTAGTTACCTAACCTGTTTGAGAGTTCCCAACAGGAAACAGGCTTGTAGCTGGTATCAGACATGAAGGCACAGTATGGTAGTTTCTTCTTAGGGAAGGTAATGGTAAGATTTGAAAATCCTTCTTTTATGGATGCTCAGACCTTCCTTAGTATAAGGGCAGGGTTTGGACACATGAGAACTTTTATACAGAGTCTTGGAGCTAATGTCATAATTTTAGCTCTTATTAGTTAATTATGTTTAAAGAACTTCTCTCCCATTAAGCCATTGAATCTGTCATAATTTTAGCTCTTACTAATTATGTTAAGATGTTTTCTCTTCTCTTAAACCATTGAACCCAACTTCCAACCACCACTATGATTTAAACCAAATTAGATGTGCATTTACTTAAAAAGCTAGGCAGACTCATGTGATGTGGTGTCTCAGAGCAACTAACTGGCTAGTTTTTGTTTTATCTTACTAGGTTTTATTTTGTTATGTTTTGTTGTTGTCTCTTAGAAACCTGTTCTTTTTTCTTTTCTTTCTTTTTTTTAAAGAGCAATTTGCTACTCTCTTTCTCTTTTTTAAAGATTTATTTATTTATTTTATGCACATGGTGCTCTATCTGCTTGTAAGCCTACATGACAGAAGAGGGCCTCAGAGCCCACCGTAGATGGTTGTGAGCCACCATGTGGGTGCTGGGAATTGAACCTGGGTCCTCTGGGAGAGCAGCCAGTGCTCTTAACTGCTGAGCCAGCTCTCCAGCCCCCTGGCTAGTTTTAGGAATTACTTAGGTCCAAGTGATTCATTCTCTGAGCGCTGCATATTGTTCAATTCACCACACTCTTTTCTGTTTTCAGATGTCTCGGAGTCGGAGTCCTTCTCCAATAAGATGTACATTGCCAAGTAAGTGGAGCAGTCAAAATGGAGCGCGCTTTCTACTCTTTGGACATCCTCCATATTATGCCACATTTTGGAGCAAAATGATTATACTTGGGGAATATTTTTCTTCTCCAGTTCATACTGTTTATTTCATTTCTGGGCCCTCTCATCGATGGTGCCTGAGCTGGTCTCATGGTTTACAGAAAAGCAGCCTCCATGGAGAGATTGAACTGCTACGTCCCTTTGTATTTAGACACCTCTGAAGAATGTGCAAGAACGTGGCCATAGTAACAGGCTGTTTGTTTTTCTCCCTAGGATACTAAAACCACCAGCCACGTTTGTTTGCCACAGTCCATTGGAACAGCCAGCTTCTTCAGCGCCTCCGCCCACCTGACTTGTCTGCCTCCGACCTCACTTAACATGAAATGAAAAGGCAATTCTGTGTATCACTCCGCACAGAGAGTTTAATGCTTTGGCTCGGTGCCTTTGTGACTCTGGGTAACATAGCCGCTCCTTTTATTTTGTAGGCACAAATTCCATCAGTTTCATAAAGACAATGACGTAGGCATATAGGATCACGTTCATGTGAACGAAGTCCATTACAAAGGAATGGACTTCCCCCCCAAAGAACTGGGCTCTTTCAGAGCAACCCTAGGAGTAAAAGAAGTCATTATCCAGCTGAGTCCCCAAAGGAGGACAAATGCTTTTCTTTGCAGATCAGTCATGCATGCTCATGGGTTCAGTGTTCTGATCCCCTTTCAGGGTTTCCAAAGCATCTGTAGCCCCAGGCTGGGAAGCTCATCCCAGCACCATTCATGTCAGGGAAACTGTAGACCATAAGAAGACATTAATTTAAAGGGATAGAACAGTTAGCTTGCTTCTCTCTTTGTACTTTGGCTGAATGTCAAAGCTACTGGGTTTTCTGTTTCCCATTTTCTTTTCTCCCTCCTCCCTCCCTCCCTCCCTCTCTCCCTCCCTCCCTCCCTCCCTCCCTTCTTTTTCTTTCTTTCTCTTTTTGTATACAGGTACCAGAACTAACCCCCCCATATTCCCGCCTTTACATGTTTTCTTGCAAGATATTCAATCAATCAACAAATTTAATCAACTAACAATTGATTAACAATCAAGCTTAATCAGCTAATGAACTAAACAGCTCATACACTGGCACCTTATTACTGATAGGTTAATGTTGAGTAATAAAAGATGCCCCAGAATCGGGCCACGTGAGAGGGCTTCCTAGAGAGCAGGGCTGTGGTTAGACATCAGCTTGAGATATCTGCCATTTGTCTCACAGCTAGGACCGTTTCAGAGTTTTAATGCATGTGTTAAACATAGAGCTGACCACCCCCACACTTACTCCTCCAGCTGTGCCGAATTTTCCTGGCGTCTGTCTGTGACGTCACCGGCTATGACTGAACATCAGCAATGGGAGGCACCTTGCCACCCTTGGGCGTGACTTTCTGAGATGGCGGGCCTCTCAGAAAATTACATTTCAGCTAAAAGCCAGGCTTATCCAACTTAGACAGCGACAGCATTCCTGAACGACCAATTGTGTGATAAAACTGCAATAGTCACTTGTGCTGTGTGACAAAAGGCCTTTCTATTTTGTTAAATGAACATTAAAATTTACAACCAACCTTTATTTTTTTTAACTAACCATCAAAATAATATTTTTTTATTTTTCTTTATTAAGAAATTTTCTACTCACTCCACATGCTATCCACAGATCCCCTCTCCTCCCTCCTCGAACCCCCCAGCCCTCTTTCCCAAGCCACCTCGCATCCCCACATCCCCCAAATTGAGGTCTCCCATGGGGAGTCAGCAGAGCCCAGCACACTGAGCCTAGGCAGGTCCAAGCCCCTTCCCACTGCACCAAGGCTGTGCAAGGTGTCACACCACAGGCACGGGATTCCAGAAGCCTGCCCATGCACCAGGGACAGATTCCAATCCCCCTGCCTGGGTGCCTCCCAAACAGTTTGAGCCAAACAACCGTCTTCCATATCCAGAGGGCCTAGTCCAGACCCATGGGGGCTCCACAGCCACCCGTCCACAGTTCATGGCAAAAGGCCTTTCTTAAGATCTTACTAAGTATTGAGGATGCCTCTGTATCTTGTTTTTTTTTTTCTTTTCCCCCTAAAACCCCATGTATCATGTAATTTGGAAAAAACAGTCCAGTCATTTGCTCTCAATCCTATTGAGGCACTTTCCTTTTCTCAAGTTTCTAATTTGAGCTCTACTCGCGCAGAGAAAGCCAAATAGTGAAGAGCATCTTTTGGAAGGTGTCCACGATCCCGGAGGAGGCTAGCCTGTCCTCATGGCCTCTGGGTGTGGGTGGCTGGAAAGCTCTTGTTTCGCACTCTGGGTCAATGTGGGTTTCTGTGTTATTGCTCAGCATCTAATAAAGCCACAGTGGAGTGCTGTACTCTGACATGTCCTCCTTCCAGATTCTCAGGTTGCGTGAGGGTGCTCCCCACCACCTTCACTAATCCATGATCGTGAACCACGGTCACACAGTCATCAAGTAAAGACTGACCATAGCCTACCCTGGCTTGACCCGGACATAGCTGCAGCCCACGGGGGAGCCAAACTGCTGGATCTGTTTTGTCTTAATCACAGCTCCTCTCGCCTGTTCAGGATGCCCCTGCGGACCCCCCTTAGCTGTTTTCCCTTGCATGATTTCGGTGGCTTCTCACAATAGCTAGGTGCGTCTGTGGCTTTGTCTATAAGGAACTTTCTTGTTCACTGCACTCTATAATCTTGTTTCAATGTCTTTTGCTTTAGAGTGAGACTCTGTCTCGTTTTCTTCTGTTGGTACACAGTTCTGGTTCTTTACTTTTTTTGAAGGGGAAATTATGCATTTACATACACACACACACACACACACACACACACACACACACACACACACATATGATTTGTCCTATAGTGCTGAGGATATATATGTGGAGAAGGGCTGGCTTTATGGAGTTTAATGTCCTGTTTAGCTGTATTCCTTTGTGATTTTCTGCTCATAAAGAACAGATGTGAATACATAAGAACTTAGAGCCGCTGAAAGCTGGGCTTGTAGTACACAACTGTAACCTCAGCACTTGGGAGACCAAGGCAGGAGGATTGCCAAGAGTTTAAGGCCAGTTAGTGCTATTTAGTGAGTTCTAAGGCAGCCTGAGCCACATAGGATAGCCTTGTCTCAACCAACAAAAAGAAAAACACACAGAGAGAAAGGTACAGTAAATATAGCGAAGAAAATGCTACATGAATCCCATAACAGATTTAAAACTATTTAATCAGGTAAATGTCTTTACATAGAACAAAGCTGTGGGGTGGCTGGGGAGAATGCCTCAGTCAGCACAGTGCCTGTTGTGCAAATATAAAAATCCGAGTTTGGATCTAGCACCAAGGATCCAAAGGCTGAGCCAGAGACAGGTCCGCTGCTGGAGCTCCTGGTCCACCAGTCTAGAGAAACAGGTGAGGCCAGGTCGGGGGTGGGGTGGGGGAGAATCATCTCAAAAAGAAGATGGAAGCAAATTGAGGAAGACCCTTGACATAGATTTCTAGCCTCCACATTCAACATGTGCGCGCGTGCACACACACACACACGCGCGCACACACACACACACACACACACACACACACAAGGTGGGGGGCAGAAGGGGTTTTAGGAAAAGGAAGGGTAGAATAGTGTGGTAAAAAACACTGGAGAATAGACCTCAACTTTAGAATCTATACTCCTGGCATTGTTAAGCTCGTGTGAGAAGCAGAATCAGTTCAGAGGACATGGCTTTGAATGTCCCCCACCCATCCACCCCCCGCCAGTGCAGCTGTTTGCCCCCCATTGTATCTTTAAGCTACAGGGCATGATCACTCCGATTTGCTTTTGTAGGCACACCATATGTTTTGTAGTGGGCATAGTGCAGCCAGCATCATCCTGTAAGGCTGGAGTTGGTGGGAGATTTCTTAGTGGTATTGCTTTGAAAATTTCCAGTCATATAACTAAGGGTAAGATGTTCCGGGGCCGGGCAGTGGTGGCGCACGCCTTTAATCCCAGGACTTGGGAGGCAGAGGCAGGTGGATCTTTATGAGTTCGAGGCCAGCCTGGACTACCAAGTGAGTTCCAGGAAAGGCGCAAAACTACACAGAGAAACCCTGTCTCAAAAAATCAAAAAAAAAAAAAAAGTTCTGGAACTTTAAACTAGAATTTATAAACTGCATTAGACCATGGAACTGTGAGCCCAGGAACCATATGGATAAGTGGAATTTAGAATGGCATGTTAGCCTTAATGCTGGAAGGAGCAGAGGCCTTGAGAATATGGTACGAATAGCTTTCTCATTGCAAATGAGATGTAACCAGACAGTTTCACACTTGAAAAACAGCCCAGCAGAAGTCAGCATGAACACACTTTCCAGAGTGTCACCAACAATTAGCCATCAAAACTGGGCATCTACTTGTCCTTCTACGGAGTGGGTGACAGAGGAGAGTGGCAAGTGTGTATATTGCAGATTTAATTACAAATTGGGTTATAGTGCTTTTAGAATTGTAATGAAATGACGTACTAAAATATGCTGTAAAATGTACTAGAAAAGCTACTTAGTAATTGGGCAATGGCTAGAAGACCTCGGGTGTCACACTGTAAATCAGGTCAGCAACTCACTTCTTATGTTGGGACACTGGGGCTCCAGGGCATTATATTTCTAATGATACTTCTGTCTCTTTAGTTCAGGGAACAAGTTCCAGAGCCCCGCCATAAAGTAGCATTGGCCCAGCCCTGTGGGTCATGAGTGTGTGGTAGGATGGGTCAGGGTTCCTTTGGTATCATTTGAGAAGCTTTTGCTGGAATGTTACAGGCTATTCCAAGACTTTCAGTGGTTGGAGAGAGCTTTTAATGGAGCTCTTACAGGGTGGCAATTTAGAAACCCTGTTCCAGGACATGCTTGTCTTTAGATGTATTTTTTTTTTTCGTTTTTAGAGTTAAATATGCTGCTGACTATTGACAACCATTGTATTAACTTTTACAAGTGAATGACCTATCAGAGTGATGTCATCTACTAGACACACTGGCCTAGTCACTGAGCAGTGAGCGCACTGCTGACAAGTGGCAGTGCAAAGTTGTGCACATTGAAATTTAACTCCCACCGTGAGGCATTGTGGGGGTGAAATCTTAATTCTATGAGGCTTGAAGTGGGGCTTTGGGGAGGTGTTTAGTATTAGACGATAGAGTCATTAAGTGGGGGCGTGATTCAGTCTTGTTGGCTGCAGGGGAGACACACATACACACACGTACTATTTTCTGCTGCCTGGTGCTCTGTGCCGTCTGTGGACTCTGTTAGCAAGAAGGCCATCCCCTCCATGTGTCCCTTAGACCTTGTACCTCCAGGACCTTGAGTCACAATAAAGCCTTTTTAGAAAATAAAGTCATCTGCCTCTAGTATTTTATTACAGTAATGAAAGAAGTACTAATACAACCAGTCAT